ACCAATCCTCTGAATTATATATGTCTTCTTGGATCTGTAAATGCTGTATGCAGCACCATTGCAATCTATGATAATTTAAATTTCTGTATCAAGGAGAAAATTTCACTACTGAAATCTACATTCTATTTTGAGAAAAATTTTCAATTCCCATCCTGAAGTGCGGTAGCAGCAAAGAAATGTTGTCTAGTTTCTCAACTTTTTGTGCTTTCAGAGTAATGACTGAATATTTGCTCCTATGTCCTTGTTTTGTCTGTCGGTGTTATCCTCTTGTCCTACCACCACTCAGTTAGCCTTAGAATATAACATGATTGGAAGAGAACTAGACTTTCCTGAAATAACTGATTTAAACAAAGTGCAATATTCAGCCACATCTATAATATTCATATTTAAGTTTCTTTACTCCAACTATCTGCATTTATGTATTTATACCTGAAATTGCCTGATTTAGGCTGTCACAACCTTTTTTGTTGATTTAACAAATAATTAGCTTCACTTTTGTTGATTTAACAAATAATTAGCTTCACTTTTCAATCATATTTTCCTAAATAGTTAATTTCCTTTAATTTTTAGAAGTATTACGTAGCCATTACCTAGAAGTATGGAGTTAGTCATAAATTGTGAGGTCAAGCACTGGGAAAAGCAACTCCTGTCTTTAAGATAATTATAATGCAATTTGATGAACATAGAAATAGAGAATCAGCTATTTTACAAAATGTATCATTCTAAACATGAACTCACCTACATTTTTCAGCTGTATTCTCTTTGAAAAAATAACTAGCATTATAAACAAAGACAGGCTTACAGTATCTCACATTTATATAAAGACTATTTAGAAGTATATATTTGCCATATCATGATGCTAAGATTTTAACGCTAAGCTTATTTTCCTGGTAGAAATTCTTGTAGAATTCGGAATTAAGATCTTTGAAAGATCTAGATAAAGGTATCAGTTTTGAGAATGCTGCTCTTTTCTTATTCATTTTAATTTTCACAAGACTATTCTGAGTTAATCAAATATGTGGATGGCAATTAAAAGGTCTATTCTTAGCTATTAAGAATTATTTTTATAAACATTTTTACTATCATATTGTACTGGAGTATCTTTCATATCAACCTCAAATCCTGATGACTTAAGGAGTGACCTGGGTACAATAGTTTTAATGGCAACAGTAAGAAATGGTTTGCTGTTGCTTACTTCTGGTATAGTTTTTCAGTTTGCCAGTTTAGTCTTCTTGTGTTTCCTGGATGTCTCCCATCCACTACAAACCAGATCCAGCCTGATTATTCTCTAAGTCACGGGTGTCAAACTCGCCGCATCACATGACGTGTCGCAACATATCGTGACTTTTTTGGCATTGCCGGAGCTGGGGTGGGTGTGGCCTCCGTATGATGCAACCAGGTCGCGGGCTGGCAGTTTGACACCCCGCTAAGATGAGAAAAGATCAGCCAAGTGTTGCCACCTGTTGATTCAGTGTCAAATCCATACCCTTATCAGTTTCAGGAGGAATAAAAAGCATAATAATTAATTTGACATGAATCCATGGAAGGTCAGAAGATACATCTAAAGTATATTTGCAATGAAAAACTGTTATTACATAATTGCTTGTATAAAAGTGAATCATCACTGATTTTGCCAGAATGAATTCCATTCAGAAATGCATTGAATCATAAGAGGTAAGTGCTCCTCTAAAATTCTTGGTGCTGTCAGCATTCATTAAATACTTATGGTCTGTTCAGCTGTACTGCTTTCTCAGTTATTGCTCATTTTCCAAATGCACATATTTAATAAGGGTACTTGGTGATAAATATCTGCTGAAAGCTAATATTTCAAATAGAATTTACTAGATTTCAAGCAACAAAAGAGAAGACTATGCAAAATCTATCAAATCAAATCTTAAATGTATCTTGGTTTATAAAGCTATAAATCACAAAGGAAAATAAATTATATAGCACAACATTAAAATATAAAATAAGGATTACAAATAACTAATTAGCTTCTCAGTAATGCACAAGATTATCAAGGAAAGATCATACTGATTTTCCCAATGTCCTCAAAAACCTTGAGAAAAAGGAGTAAGATGGTAACATGCTTGCAATCCTATTTGATTTATCGTTTCACCAAGTTAATGCAATGGCATCCATGGTTGACCTTGTTGGTCATTTTTTGATAATTTGTTGAAATGAATTTGACAGAAATTCTGTGCTGCAAAGAGTTCAAATCTCAAATGCTCTTCCCAGGTACCTGCCATGCTGAGTATAACAGTGAGAAGTGTTCCATTACAATATTTCTGAAACGGTGTCAATGGCAGTTAATTGAATTTTTGATAATATAAACAAATCTAAATAAGTGTGATATTTGTATGTGTGTATGTGAGTGTGTGCAGGTTCAAAAATTAGACCATCTCCTCTGACTTTTTCAAATCCATGAAATCCTTGATCAAGGAGCTAGCTGCTTGATAATTCTGTCTAACCTGAGAACTGGTGGTTCTTTTCTTTTCTACATTAGTCCTTACATATGGCAATGCTCTTCTACTATTAAAAAAAAAAAAAACCAAATAAATTAAGTTTGGAGAGAAGACTCAAGTATACAATCCATGGTTCACTTCAAAATTCATCACTGGCTAGTCTCTCACTGTACTGAGCCATAAACAATGGTTTGTAAGCCACAATGTCTTTGTGACCACAATACAATAACTTGCAAATATATAACACAGATTATGGTTTAGCATAGTTTATGAACCTAATTTAGTCACTGCTGCTTTCTATTTCTTCTGAATGAAAGAAAGTAAGGGTTATAGAAGATCACATATTCTGAACTTGCTTCAGTGGAATAAATTCAACCTCTGCTAGAAAATACATACTTTATTTTCCAGAGCATTATTCAATTGCTTCTATTTTTCAAATATATGACAATGATCTTGTATTACCTATAATTACATTTTGAGTGCAGCTAACAGTATTTAAACGTCAAACCCAATCAACATACAAGACAGTCTAAGAAACTGTTATAGTTTACAGCATATCAATGAAACTAACTTTCAATTTCCAAACTGATCATTTATCAGTCATTAATTTCAAACTTTTTGAAAAGGAATTTTAAAGAATTATTTCATCTCAAAATGATTGAAACTGTTGGCATATGGCTTTTCCCCCTTCCTTCCATCCAAAGGGAATCATTTAAATACTGCTCTAAATGAGCCCATTTTCCTCCTTGTTAAAAGAGATTTAAAGTTATCAGCCTGCTGCTTAAAAAAATAGAAAGATCATACGCTATTTCCCTCCAAAAAGCATCAACAAAACTTCTAAGCAGCAAGACGAAATTGTACAAATATTACTAGACAAGGATCCAAACATTAAAAGCTCAATGACTGCCAATAATATCTCCAAGGAAACAGAAATTAAAGCATCTCGATAATTTCAAGTACTGTTAAACCAGGCAAAGATAACAAATTAACACTAAGATGTCTATAATTTGGATAGATTCAGAAAACTATTATACAAAATTGAAAGAGAATTAAAACATTCTTTCTCCTGATAGTTGTAACTTAGGGCCAAACATTTTATTTGTTTCTTTTTTTCTTACTTAACAATTAGTGCTTATATGCCCCAGGATTTGAAAGGCTTCTGTTCCCTTTTCTTGTTTAGATTTAAAAAAAAAATAAGCAGTAAAATTAAAATTTCAAAATGTTTTAGCATTCAAGAAGACTCAAACATTAAAATACAATTGATAAAAGGGAGCAGACAGTTTCACTCCCCAAGATTTCCTTAAAATATAAGTTTTAATTTTTCTAGTGCTAAAACATATGTGCCACAGTAAAGTTTAGTTCATGGACTAATTATATAATAATATTCCTATATTAAGGATTATAGGGTACTATTATTCCATTGAATCTAATATAAATAACTGAAGAAATAAGAATCATGTCAAATCAGTAAAGTCAGTCCTGTATTCTTATATTCTATGAGAGCAATACAAGAATAGATCCTAATAAAACAATCTGTTCTGAACAGGTAATATTTCTATACTAAAAGTGGAGATGCATGTTACTTTGTGAAGCAGTTTTGAGGGGCTGCTTCATACAAAGTTTCACTGAAGAAAAGTTCTCTTCAGCAGTATTTATCATACTTTTCTTTATGCTTAAATATTTTCATTAAAAGATGTTTACATTGCAAAAGGACATGCAATAGTTAGAATTTAATATAATTTTTATCAGGATTCATATAATTTTGTCATTGATTATGGTTTAATTTCTGATTTATCATATAAAGTTTCTCATTTATGATTTTAATCATTTACATTGCAACTTCATCTGATTACTCATTTTTATACTGATTACTAGCTGATTACATTAATTATATTGTAACATTTATTATGCTTTTATTATTGTGAAATGTATGGGTCATTTAATACCATTTTTTCACTCATTTTCTATGACTTGCCACCATTTTGTCTATTTTAAATTATTTTCTTTTTAATTCATCAGTTACTCTCTATAAACTAACCCTCCAATCTTAATTCAATGGTCATCTTCCATACACTCAAAGAAGGAACCCAAAATAAAAGGACCTCTGAAGATAGATACAAGTGAGACAGATGGAAGATCCTAAAGAAAAATAGACATTTTTAATGCAGATAAAAGTAATGTAATAGAAAAAATAAATTCAATACAAATAATAATATATACTATATATCATGGCCTATTTTACTACATCAATAGTTCCTCTTTTAGGAAGATTTTTTCTACACATTATAAGGTGAAAATGCATAAATGCAAAAGTGTTATTTATTTATTGGAATGAACAAAGAGTTCAATTTCATATCTTTCAGAGCATCTAAAATATGAAATTGCTTACTATAAATCCCAATGAAATTAAATGGGCAATTAGAATTTTTTCAAAATACTGTAAACATACTGGATCTTATAGGAGGAAACTCTAGTGGATTATGCATTTTCCTATGTTGCAAAACTAATATTAGATATTTACTGAAAAGCACTTACTATAAGTTCTGAGTCACGCCCCATTGATATGACGGTTCTATTTACTGTCCTCAATAGCTTTTCCATAATTATTTGCACATGTCGTTGTGTTGGTCCCTAAAATTAAAACACAAAAAGAAGTAGCCAAAGCCAAGAGGATTAAATAGCTTTATGTATACAGCAAACAATTTTAAATCCCTTTGTTTTAGTTTCACTATGATCAATGCTCAAATGTACTGATTTTCTAAAGCAGCATTCAAATATGGGAATTCTATTAAAATCATCCAGCTCTATGGCCATCTCTAAATAATGTAGGTAGAATAATTAAAAGGGGAGTGTATGACAAAGCATTCATTCCCAAATATATACCATATGTATTTGATTTTCTTTGGAAGTTGAACCATGGCATCTGGATTTCTTTTCTTGTTGTTCGAAATGTTTCACTGCTTATCCAAGTAGCTTCTTTAGTCTGAGCAAGTTGGTTAATTGTTAATTTTCTTTGGTTGTGATCTTAAATATATAATTTTCTTGAATAACCAGTCCACATCTTTTTTCCTATTCATGTTTATAACCAGGGCCCAAAAATTGATGTATTCCATGCTAAGGACATATATAAGTAGTAACTACAGGTGATACTCCTAAACTCAACTGGTACCTCTGTATCCAGGAGTTGTATCTAGGAGTATTTCAAACATACAGCAAAGTGAAGCTATACTTGAAAAATTGAGGACTGGCCTCACTCTCTCATGCAGTATATATGACTTGTAGCTGCTAAAAATGGAATTTCTGATTCTTACATCAGAGAAAACCATTATTTAAAAAAGGGGCAGATGGCAGCAATTCTCAAGAGTGGAAGTGTACAGCTGCAGAGACACTGATTTGAAAAGGTGGCAGTAAAATACCCAGGAATTAAATCTGGGGACTAACATATATGGAGGACAGGGTTCCAGGATGCTCTTAAAATGACAAACTTCACTATGTAGATGACTTCCTAATTCGCTGCAATAAATCTACTTTTCAAACCCTATATTATCTGCTTGAGAATGCAAAGCAGGAAGAAAATTTAATCACTCTGATTGGTGCAAAGAATGTACCCAACTGCCCCACACAGTGTTTACTTCCAAATAATGGTACTACAAAGCTTCTAGAAACACTTCAGTAATAATACTGAAATTAAAAGTTTAAATAAATGGAGCTATTAGAAGAATATCACTATTCCTTGTTAAAGGCTTGCTTACAAAAACTGGCCACAAAACACACATGCACATAGAATCCTCTTTTTAGTGATGCACGCTTATTAAAACTTGTAACTGAATTTTGTTGATATTGTCCTATTATGGCTATTGCAGTTTTTTGCACATTACTTTATGAAGATGTTCTTCAAACAATTATTTTACCATTTGCTAATAAATTACATTTTTTTACAAAAATTACAAACGGACAAGCTTCAGTATTCTGCATGTATTTGTTTTTGTATTCAAGAAACAATTAATTGGTTTCGTTGTCTTTATCATCAGTGCTTGTTAATAGGTTTTCTTTTTGCTCCCTGACCCTCATAATTAAATTTGTCACCAATAAATGTTCTCTTCCATTTCCCAATAATTCCTTAAGAAATGGACTTTTGTCACCATTCAAAAATGATTTCCCCCAGTTCAGCCTATTCATCTTTTACCTACTCTGCCTTCTCAGCAGGTCTGCTGGCACCTTCCTAAGCAAAAAGTCTTCAACTTTGCTAATCTCAGCAGGTAAAGAAACTAGAATATAATTGCTTATGCCCCAAGGTGCACAACAACCAATCTTTTTTTTTTTTGTAAATATTAAGCACTACACCACTGGATTGTATTTCCAATCAAAATCACATTTCACAAAGAGCACAGGGAGGTTTAAAACACAGGCCATTGTTAACATATTGTGCATGTTAAAAAGTAGATTTCAGGAAAGAGTTTGCTTGTTTAATCCTTAAGGAATACCAAAGGCCTTTCGATGTATAAAAGAAACTTGGTTAAACAAGCACAAGACCTTTATCATGCTGATAATGTTATATGTTGAGATTTAGGAACAATGGAAATATACTATAATAATAAATTCAATTACTGACAGCCATACAAAAGAATTGCCAAACTGGATGTGTCAAATTCACACTTTTAAGGCACAACAGTGCCTTAAAAAGTATCTACTTCATAAGCCCCATGCTGAAAGATTGAATAGATAGAATCCATATTTTATTTCCCAAACAGTTTTCCTCATATAATATTTTCATACTGGTGAACTACTGGTGAACACTAGTCAGTATCTTTATCAGTCAATCTCAGCATCATAACTGTCAGATCTGGCTAACTAATGCAAGAGTTGAGATGGACATTTTGCATTAGTTGGTTGGTCTATTTACCAGTGGCTTTCATTGATTTTTCTCTACTTTAGGAAACTGTGACAATATTGCTAGAAAAGAAAAAAAGCTAAGAACTCCCTAACTAAACAGGATAGAATATGCTGAGACCTTAGTTAGCCTGACTGGTGGCAGCTATCGTAATTATTCTTTTAGGAGAAGGGAATTGCCAGAAAGCTTTAAAATTCTTCCCCCAATCGATGACATCTGGGAAATGTTATGCATTAGTAACAAAACGACAACCTTCTTTAGAGTATTATGTAGTTTTCAGAGAAGCATTCTCTATTCTTTTCAGTGAGATAGTCAATATGATGTGCAAGTTAAAACAATTTTGTGATTTGATATGTATTTTAATTTCACAGGTTAATAAGTCATACTTTAAACACCTAGGCTTATAAATAATAAAAAAATGAAGACTAGTTTGGTCTAGTGCAGTGTTTCTCAACCTTGACAATTTTAAGGCATGTGGACTTCAACTCCCAGAATTCCACAGCCAGCAGGGAATTCTGGGAGTTGAAGTCCACATGCCTTAAAATTGTCAAGGTTGAGAAACACTGGTCTAGTGGTTAACTCACTGGGAGACTATGAGTTCTAGTCCTTCCTTAGGCTTGAAGTCATTGTCTCTCAGCCAATTCTACCTCACAGGATTGTTATTGTGAGAAAAGGATGGGAGGGGGGGAAGAAGTATATTTGCCATCTTAAGCTTTTTATAAAAATAATAAAGGTGGAATTAAAATAAATAAATAAATAAATAAGCCTTCTTCAAAAGATTATGGCATGAAAATCTAAAGTTCACATTGCAGAATAGGAGACAGGCAGTAAGACAGAGCAGCAATCACAGGGCCACTGCATAATTCTGCATTACTGTGCTCACTGAAATGAGGAATATTGTTAAGAAGCCTCTTAATTTCTAGATGTAATTTTATTACTCATTCATTCATTATTCAATTTGTATGGCAGCCCATTCACCTAACTTTACTCTGGGTGCCTCTGGGCTTATTAAATAAGTTCCCATTGGATTTTCTTTGGGAATCTAAGTATGTCAGTAATTGCAATCTGAAGGCAGTAACAAACAACCAGCCCTTAAATTGAATAAAAAAAACAAGTAGTCATCTCTACATCTATAGTTCAATCTGCTGAACTATAAAACAGAGTTTACACTTTTATCACAGCATCTTTACTGAATAATATCATAGACCATCCTGATGAAATGCTTCACTGCAGCCAAGAGAAAGTCTGAATTTCTCCATCAAGCTATCACAACTGCAAACAGAAGTAAAATGCTTTGCATTCCAGTAGTTCTGGATCATTTAGTGCCTAAACAAATTTTACATCTGATAAAATAAGGATCAAATATAACATACCAAATGCATGCTCCATTGTTTAAGCCTCAATTTTATTCATAACGTTTTTAAACATTCATAATGTCAGAGTTAAATATATACAATGATTACTAACCACATCTTTCCTATAAAGAACTTCAAGAATATTACTGAGCAATCGGCAACAGGCATCCAGGTCTTCTTGCCTTTCCAAATGATACTTGAGTTGATCCGTCATCATTGGCATCAGAATCTCCCTACAGTCTATATATCAGAGAAAGTGGGCGGGGGTAGGTGGGAAAGGAAGTAGAATTAAGTAGTATATAGCACCTTATATACCTGATTACTCAACCAAAAAGATGATGATGATGATTTATTTATTTATTATGGCCACCTACTCCAGAAGACTGGACTAGTGGAGTAATAATTTATTTGTTTGTTAATCTAATGAATATAGCCGCCAATCTCTCCCAAAGAAGACTCTGGCCATGTACAACAATAAATAAAATAGCCAATATAAAATAGATAAGGATTTTCCATAAACTGGGCACCACAGCAAAGAAAGCATATTTACTGGGACCCAGTAGACAAAAGTCACTAGCCGGCAGCACCTGCAGCATGCCTTCTTTCCTAGCGCTATTGGGGTGGGCTAATGTAACCGAGAAGACATGCCCCCCCAGATAATCTAGACTCATGCTATGAAAGGGCATTGTTCTCAATACATATGAAGCCATTAGAATCAATGTGGTAATGAAACCCTATTCTCCATCATAACATTTGAACTATGAGATAATACAAGTGCTAAAATAATACCTGGATATAGTAATTCACTGAATCATTTAAAATGGATATCCTGTGGGGAGGAGATCTCCAGATAATGGAGTCTGCTACTCTAAAGGGGCTTGAATTACATTGTTTGAGAGTGACTTCCATAAATCATCATTGTCACTTATGTGATCTATGTTTTGAATTATTGAGCTTATATGTCTGAGAAATAATACAACAACAACAACAACAACAATAATAGAAAGGCATAAAGACAAATGGAGCCTTTTTGTATACTGGAAACAAATTATTGAGTTGTGTCTGGGCACAAAAGCTTTGAGAAAACATTTCAAGCCTAAGTATTACAAACCTCATTACAAACAAGTTTACATTCCGAAAGCCAAGTTGAAACATTAGCAGCTGGAGAACTGGCTTATGGAGATTCAGTTTCAACTACTTGAGAGAGGTCTTGCTGAGCCAAGACACTACATTACTAGAGACTCCTATAGATGTCCCACTTTTATTAACTGCAAATTTATTCCACCCTGTTGAGAACTCTGGAATGTGTCTTTCTTGCTTACTCAGATAAGCTTTTATATAATGTAAACATTACTTATTTTCATCAGTATATGATTTCCCTTCAATTCTTTAATAGCAAACAAAAATTGCATTAAGCTCCAGAAAACTGACATCTGATGCCGCAAATTTCTTTCTTGGCATCTAAGCAAATTCTAAATATAGCCTTTGGCTATTGTCTCCCACAAATTCCAATAACCCTCAGTGGCGTTGGCATCAGATTAAACAGCCATATTTGAACTTTGGAAAAATCAAATAACATTCATTAATATGAATGAATCTTGTTTGAAATTCTTGATGTTCCAGATCATTTGGATCTGAAATGTTCTTGAAATGTTTCACTACACATCAGTTGGTCTGAAAAGACCTTTTATGTTATGTTTGCCCTTAGGAAAGAAAATATTTTGATGTATGTTTCAACCAAGGTAACATTTGGAATATTTCCCAAAAAGCTTTATCTCCACAAAAGGAACTGATTCAAAGCAAGTTTGTGTACCTGTATCTTGGTGCTAACTGTATACTAGAGATTTCTTCTAGCTTCAAGGATTATTGCCATTGACAGCATGGCTCAAAAGTAAAGAATCTGCCAGAAGAGCAGCTGTTCAAGAAATGTTTTTGTACATCTTCCATCAGTTTAGGAATATTATCTATGTCTGCCATTTCCTTTACTCATACAAAGGTTGCTCTAACAAGGAATTTGTAGCTGCTGTGTGAATAGCAGGCAACTGAAGCTTTGAATTGCTTGTGAAGGACCATTTTTGTTCTCTTGCTGGCTATGAAGGATGTGAGGGTGCAGCAATCAAAGGGACATTTAATTGTTCCTGTAGGAGATGACGGTTCCATTATATTAGGGAAGATAATTCTTATATCTGTCTATAACACTGCTTGATTCTGCCTGGAGTGCCCATTCTATCCTCCATATTTTCCTGAACAAATTTTTAAAAAAGAACTGTCAAGGTTTTGGTTTATCCTTTTTTTAAAAAAAACCTTTCTGGGCACCAGTGGAAGAAAAGACAAGATCTTCTCTGTTGCCTGTTGTGTATATCAGCTAGAAGAAGTAGTCTATACTATTTTGAATAGAAGAAAAGAGAAGATTACGGGTGTCTCTTGTTATTGAGGATCTCTAGCTCCTGTTAAAAAGTTCTGTTCCTTCAAAAATTTCCAGATTGGGAAAAAAAGGAAGGACATTATGTTTTACTCTAACTTATCTTTTGTTGTTGTTGTTTAATTATTAGCTTCTATCTATATATAGGTTTACCCAATCGTATGGGTGAGGAAGTGATCTCTCTCAGCTATTGTATATATCATGGCACTTTGGGCATGACAGAGATTGACAAATAATAAATCATGTGGCAATTTATATACTTTTTAAACTTATTTAAAGTTTTTTTTCTTACCATGTTGTGTGAAAAGATCACTGTGAACTATTTCAATCAAGCAGTACAGCTTCTGAATTGTAAGACGACCCATTGGAACATTCAGTATAAAATCTGTAAATAGTTTGCTAGCCAAACAAGAAAGAATAAGACATTTTTATTTATTTAGAAATATTGGGACATAAATTTAAAAATCCAATGTATTTGAAAAAGCAATTAAGAATTCATGTGATCCCCTGTTATTCTGATCTTATCTATATACTTATTAACTTATACATTTTTAAGACTCATGTAAAACCATCAAATTTATTTCTTACTCCCGAGCATTAATTTAATCAGAAAAATAAACATATTTTAGGTTTTCCCTTAACTATTTTTTTCATCAAATGTTTATGGTTTTCTTCATTCATATGCTTTTAAAAAGGTGTTTAAAAATCAGTGGAATATGTTCTGTTCAGTATAACCTTTACAAGTATTCAATTCACTCCTTCAGGATTTAACTATCTGCAATTAATCATCACCAGATAATAAGATGAATTGAAACTCTGCTATGCATACCTCCTATATAGTTTAATGCAAAGGATGCCTCAACCCTTCCAAGACTGAGTGGCTGTGGTTGCCGGCTCCCAGGTATGGTCAGCTGACTCCATCGCTGACTATAGGGGGCGAAACTTTGGCCCCCTCAGAGAGGGTACGCAACTTGGGGGTCCTCCTGGATCCACGGCTGACACTGGAAGACCAGTTGGCGGCTGTGGCCAGGGGGGCGTTTTACCGGGTGCGCCTGGTGCACCAGTTGCGGCCTTTTCTGGACCGGGATGCCTTGCGCACAGTCACCCACGCTC